TCCCTGATTTTCAGATCATCGACGTTTTACAACCTCCTCCTCTTACCGTCACCGGAACTATACCCGATTTCAACCTAACCCATTTCTCCGATGAGTCTAATAAATACACTCTTCGTCTTCTCCACCGCGATAGATTCCCTTCTGTTACTTACCGTAACCACCACCACCGTCTCCATGCTCGTATGCGCAGAGATACAGAGAGAGTCGCCGCCATTCTCCGCCGTATATCTGGAAAAACCATGGCTTTCAATTCGAAATACGAGGTCGACGATTTTGGTTCCGATGTGGTTTCCGGTATGGATCAAGGGAGTGGTGAGTATTTCGTTAGGATTGGCGTCGGAAGTCCGCCGCGAGATCAGTACATGGTGATTGATTCAGGAAGTGATATGGTTTGGGTTCAATGTCAGCCTTGTAAGCTCTGTTACAAACAATCCGACCCGGTTTTTGACCCGGCTAAATCCGGGTCTTACACTGGAGTCTCTTGTGGCTCTTCCGTCTGTGACCGGATCGAAAACTCCGGCTGCCATTCCGGTGGGTGTCGCTACGAGGTCATGTACGGAGATGGGTCTTACACGAAAGGGACATTAGCCCTCGAAACGCTGACTTTTGGTCGGACGGTGGTTAGAAACGTCGCTATGGGATGCGGTCACCGGAACAGAGGAATGTTTATCGGAGCAGCTGGGTTATTAGGTATAGGTGGCGGTTCGATGTCGTTTGTTGGTCAATTGAGCGGTCAAACCGGCGGTGCGTTCGGTTATTGTCTAGTGAGCCGTGGTACTGAGTCGACCGGTTCATTGGTATTCGGGCGGGAAGCTTTGCCCGTAGGAGCCTCGTGGGTGCCGTTGGTTCGGAATCCGCGGGCTCCGAGTTTCTACTACGTTGGGCTCAAAGGTCTCGGGGTCGGCGGCGTCCGGATTCCTTTGCCGGACGCCGTTTTCGACCTGACCGAAACGGGAGACGGCGGTGTGGTTATGGATACCGGAACCGCCGTCACAAGACTTCCCACAGCGGCTTATGCGGCATTCCGCGATGGATTCAAGTCGCAGACCGCGAATTTGCCGCGAGCTTCTGGCGTATCGATATTCGACACGTGTTACGACCTGTCCGGGTTTGTCTCGGTCCGAGTCCCGACCGTGTCATTCTATTTCTCGGAAGGTCCGGTTTTGACACTACCGGCCAGGAATTTTCTGATGCCGGTGGACGATTCGGGAACGTACTGTTTTGCGTTTGCGGCGGCTCCGACGGGTTTGTCGATAATAGGGAACATACAACAGGAAGGGATTCAAGTATCTTTCGACGGAGCCAATGGCTTTGTTGGATTTGGTCCCAACGTTTGCTAGCGTTTAAAACAAAAAAAAACAAGATAAAAATTACGATTTTTGTTTGCTAGTAAGTAAAAAAACTTTTGTCTCAAAACTATTATATATGTATCTGTCTTATTTATTAGCTTGGTTTGAATTCTAATAAGTATAATTAGTATAGAGAAGAGTACTAAAAAAAATGTATATGTTTTGACCAAAATTGTCTTTTGATTCGCGAATCTATAAGCTTGTGATATGAATGGAGTCAGTGACCCAACATTTAGAGCACCAAGTCAAAAAAGTAATACACAGGAAAAAGGTTTAAAAAATTGCAGAATTATGTTTAACACTTTTGTGGTGAATCGTGAAAAACATTGGGGAGTGAACCTTTTCTATTGACCAAAGCTAACGTTACAGTAAATATGTTTCACTAATAAGCAGTTAGCATCACATGCTCAGAGAGGAAACTTTAATCTTATTAAAATAGATCTAAACTCCACACAAATTGATATGCTTTTACTAAAAAAGTTTTGTGATGAATTTTGGTTTGGCAGAGAGTGGAAAGAAGCAGGCTTGATGGGCAAAATTATCTCGTGCCAGTCTTTAAGTTTGTACAGTGTTGAGTACCTGAGCGAGATAGACCCACAAAAGCTGGGAAATTATTTTTTTAAAAGTGAAAAAGGAATCATTTAAAGCAACTTAATAATCTCTAGTCACAGTCGTGAATCACTTGGGATATACCTCTTCAATTCATTACTTTCCCGTGAAAATTTCCAAGTTCGTTAGAAAGAAAAGAGAAAAACAATTTTTTTTTGGGTAGAAATATCTAAAAGTGCGTTTCATGATAATTACAACAGACTCAAAACCAAGGACCCAATTTAGTTGATTCATGGATGAATGATAAAAAAGGCCCAGAAATGTACCTTTAAATTTGTCAGAATCATATTTGTTCTCTTTCTTCGTTTATTTGACCTTATTTTTATGATATTTTTACTTAGCCGTTGGATACATTGAAAATTAAACAAACACAGTCAATTCTATTCACACTGTAACTTGATAAAGAAAACAACAAAGACATGAAATGAGCAAAGACCACTAGCCGACGAGAGGCACGTGCATTCATATACCAGTGAATCATAATTATCATCAACCTCTGGTGAAAAAAACTAACCCCC